CCTCCTGTGACCAAGTTTCCTCACGTGTAAAAAGCTATCAGTATTACTGCCTTCCAGAACTGTTTCAATTATTAAATGGGATATAATTTATAAATCATTTAGCAGGGTGCTCCTATCCTTGACAACAAACAAACAAATAAGCAAAGGAGAAAACACGAGTGATTTCTAGGGTTGTTGATGTAACTGACCTTGTGTCTGTTGCCAGTCTTAAATTTAAGCTAAGAAATGACCAAAGACATCCATGGGGATTTTTGTTCTCAATAACATTTTAAACATTTCTGGGGCAGTGTGGTAGTCATAAATATGCATAAGTATTTAGATGTGGAGAGGGATTACATTCTCTACTTTTTATAGTCCTATGGGGTTTCCTAAAGCAATTATTTTCCTTTTAATTCCATGGTGAATTAAACAGGGTTTTTTTTTTTTTTTTTTTTCTCCTTGTTTTTATTTATTTCTTTTTCTAATATCAACACCATGATTCTTCCATTGAGAAATATTAATGTGATCCTGAGGCACAACTTGGAGGAGGTCATCTTTTGGCCTCAAGAAGGTGACTTGAGTAGGGCTTAGGGGTAACCCAGGGCTGGACATATGAACCAAGCCAGACCATTCAGAGTCAGGGAGACTCACTCTGGACTTCTTTTAAAATGATTAGGGAAAAAACCGCACTCTTTCTACTGAGCTGCTGAGAGGCTAGGATGTAGAGATAACCTTGGAGCTGCTGGCAGCTCTCTTGCCCACAGGAGTGGAGACCCTGCCTAACAGTGGGAACAACAGAGAAAAGCATAGTAAAGAGATAGATGAAGATTGAGTATTGAGGTTACCGTTTAATCTCCTGTGGATCCATCTGTGTTTGAAACCAGAACATGATCAAATTTTTCAGTTGCCAGGGCCAACAAATTATCATTTTTTTCCTTTAAACTGGTAAAACTGGTACTCTGTCCCTTTTGCTAAACAATACAAAGCTAGTCATTCTCTTGACTTCCAAGTGTCAGAACGGCCAAATGCATTTGAAATGCTTAGCACCACTGGCAGCGTCTATAAGCCAAGCCTTTTAAACTGACTGCTCAGCCATGCTCTTCCCGCCTGTCTCAGTTGAGCATGTGCTCTCAAGATCTAACCAGTGATCTGCTTTGCCCAACTACTGTTCTTACCACTGTGTCATTCCCTTAAGAATCTAATTATAGAATTTGAGTTATTTATCAAAGAATGGCAAGATTGTTTTGTATGAACACACATGACTTCCTCCAACTCATTCCCAAATGAGTCTTTTCCATCAGTGCATAGAGATGCCCATGGCATATGGCTCCAGCTACACTATTACATTCACTCCCCACAGAGATTCTCTGGGTCAACTCTGGAGATGGCAATTACTCTTTACATGAAAGTAGCTGTTTATCACTCAGGGGTTTTTGTAATTGATGTTTCTCATACGAATGCTTCTTTTTTAATATAGAGATGCCTTAGAGAACTTCAGACTAATATCCTTAGGTACCGTTTAAGTTTTTGTTTATTTATTTATTTTTCAAGCAGGTATCATCTTATGATGAATTTGATTCACTAATACAAAGACCCTGAATTCACGTCAAACTCATCTCCTTGGTAATGATAGATAACCTCTTGAAAAGAGTAATTGGGCATTTTGGAAAAAGGAACTGTATTTAATCATTTACAATTATGATATTGCCTCCTGAAATTGCAAATTAGCTCTTCAATATGGATATCACAAAGTCCACATTGCAGGCAAAGCACTTCATTTTGGGGGCTTTGAAGACACACCATTTCTTTTTTTAGGCAAAACACCGTATCATCTTAAAATATTAACATAGGAAATGTCATTTGTTCCCAGGTCTTCAGAATATTGCCTTTAACATTTCATTGATTTGAAATAACCATGCAAACTGAAATTACCAGAGCAGCTTCTTAGTTGGCCTAATATGAGTGTAGAACGGGAAGTTTTAAGCATGTGCCCATCTGATAGAGGATCTTATTTGAAGAACATTATAGCTAAATTGGAGAGAGCATAGGGCAACAGAAATGATAAATGGAATGGAAGGGATTACCGAACATATGAGAAGAGATTAAGAAAAATGGGGTTGTTTAGTCTTGAAAGAAGATGAGTCTGAGGTGAATTGATTGAGGAATTTGAACTAGCTAAGGGCCACAATGCAATTAAGTTTTATCCATTTGAAGGTGTACCTTTAAGCAGAAATGTGTGAAAGGCGAATTAAAGGGTTCTTATTTTACAAAAAGTGTGGTGATAAGCAAAGAAAGGATTTGTAAGTACTAAGCTAAAATAAAATGGTATTATCATACTTAAGAAAATATTTGTACTGTTTAATTGAAGACTCTCATAAGCAAGGGAGAAAGACAGCAGGAATAAGCATCCAGGGTCTTGACATGTCTTTTTTAATGGCAAAGCCACTTCTGTGTATTATTTTCTACTCACATTATGTGGAATAAAGATACTTGGCTCGGATTTTTGCTTTTCACATGCTGTCTAATTCTGTGTCTTGGTTTCCTTATCTATTGCAGTCATGGCAGAGTTAATTAATATTTGTACTATTTTATTGGCTATTAAATAACTAAATAAAATGTGTAAATGTATTATTTAAAGTATAAAATATTTATTATGTATGTATATATTTACCAAAGTGCTCTTACCAATGTAAATGTGGTCAAGGACAGTTTTGAGAAAGAATATATGTCACAGAAAACACTTTGTAAAAAATTCAAATAATTTACTCGTACTCTATTTTGTTCCATTGAAAACCTAAGGTAACAACCAAAAATACATAAAATAAAATCAAATATTCTAAGCAGGTATAACAGGAACAAAAAAAAAACGATGGAACATAAAAAGTAGTGAGGAATAAAGCTAAATCATGTATCATAGAGACAATATGAATAGACTACTAATGTCCTCTAGTCTTTCTGTCAACCAAATGTGAAAACAAAACGAAACCCTGAGCAGTAACAGCACATAGTAAATTCAGAAATATAACAGACCAATTGATATGACAAAGGACAACTATTCTTGGCAGTATAGCCACATGAGTGTGTTTCCTGAGTGCACTCCTAGACACTACTGTCATAATAAACAAGTTCCTCAAGAACGTATCTAACAATAATGTCATAATACTTTTCATAGGACTATTAATTTTTAGTACCCAATAGTGTAGAGAGATGGCATAAAATCAAAGCATAATTCAGTAAGTGCAGTTCTAATGAGGGTTATGTAAATTGGTCCAAATATCCAATCATCTACTATTTGACAACATTCCCTTAAACCTTAAGTACATATAGGAATAAAACATAGTGCCTTAATCACTTCTGCTTCTGGCTTTAATGGAATAGCTGGTATCAGGCTAAACCTCTTATTAGAACCAACTATTAAAATCTGGATAAAATACAAAGGAAAAAAAACAGTTATTTAAAGATATAGAGAACAACCTAGGTCATCGGGATTTGAAAGACAAGATTTCAAAGAGATGTTTCTGAGAGACTGATAAACTAAATAAAAACAGTTTTATGGAGCTTGGGGAATAAAACTGAAATCTGAGCAATGAAGAAAGAGAAGTATAAATACAGTCCAGGCTTTCTTGAGAGCCTGAAAGGGCAATGCCCTAGAAGTGAGGGCCAGTGGAAAAGAAATGGCCTTGACTGATTAAGGTGATAGGACCATATTCTAGCTACTGGCCAGAAGAAAAGTAAACCTCAGAAAGACATTTTCAGAATCTCTAGAATTCTTCACATGCAATATCCAGCATTTGGTTAAGTAACTACTGTAATCAGAACCAAATGACCCCAAAGAGAAGAAAGATAGAAAATTTAAAAATATATTTATTCACATTGGATGAAATGGTTATTAGAATTACCCAACAGACGCGGTGGCTCAAGCCTGTAATCCCAGCACTTTGGGAGGCCGAGACGGGCGGATCACGAGGTCAGGAGATCGAGACCATCCTGGCTAACCCGGTGAAACCCCATCTCTACTAAAAAATACAAAAAACTAGCTGGGCGAGGTGGCGGGTGCCTGTAGTCCCAGCTACTCGGGAGGCTGAGGCAGGAGAATGGCGTGAACCCGGGGAGGCAGAGCTTGCAGTGAGCTGAGATCCGGCCACTGCACTCCAGCCTGGGTGACAGAGCGAGACTCCGTCTCAAAAAAAAAAAAAAAAAAAAAAAAAAAAATTACCCAACAGAGATCTTAAGATAAGTAAGATTAATATGTCAAAATAGGTGGAAAGAAGATAATATTGACATAGAACTTAAATACGTGAGATGAAATGGATGGAAATCTTAATACTGAAAAAGAAAATAACAGATATTGAGAGTTGAATAGATTTTTTAACAGATGATTAAACAAAATAGAAGATAGGATTCATGAATGAGACGATAGAACAGTAGAAAATATTTAGCATGAGACATAGAAAAAAAGGATGCAAAATACAATAAAACAAGCATAGCAGATATCTAGAGCATAATATGGATGTATAACATCCTTGAAACTTGAGTTCCACAGTAGGTGAGAGAGAGAGAGGATTGAACAAAAATGTATTCAAACAGATCCTAAGAAATTATTTTTCAAAGCCAATGAGACATTATACTGCTGATTTAGAGTATAGGGAAACCATAACAGGATAAATACAAAAAAAAAAAAACAAACAAACCTAGGCACATTACAGTACTTTTTTTAAAAAAAGAATAAATAATATCTAACAATATTTTAACATTTAAGCCAAAGTTAAAAAAATAAAGACTAACGCAGACAACAAAAGGCAGGTTATTTTCAAAGGAGGAGCTATAGTGCTAAGAAAAATAGTTGATTTGTAAACAGAAACGATGGAAGCCAGAAGATAATGGAATGACTTCTAAATTGTGGGGAAAAGTGTTTGCCAACCTAGAATTTAAATGTCACCAAAAACGTGCCTCAAAAATGAAGGTAAAGGTATTGCAAACTGCATTAGTATTTTCTTGTTGCCATAACAAATCGCCACAAATTTGGAGGCATAAACAATCCAAATTTATAATCTTATAATTTTATGGATCAGAAGCCCAACGTTAGTCCTGCTGTGCTACAATCTTGATGTTGGCAGGGATGCATTCAATTTTGGAGACTCCAAGTGAGAATTCATGTTCTTGTCTTATCAGAGTTCTAGAGGTCCTCCATATTCCTTCCTCCATCTTCAACATCAGCACAGCTGGCCAAATCTTTCGCAAGCTGCCACTCCTTTGGTTTCCTGAAACTGTCAAGGGTGCTCCACTTCTAAAGACTCATGTGATTAGACTGGATCCTCTGGATAATCTAGGATGATCTTCTTATCTCAAGGTAAATATTTTTAATCACATTTACAAAGTCCCTTTTGTCAGAAAAGGTAACACATTCACAAGTTCTGAGGATTAGGGTGTGATCATCTTCTGCGACCATTATTCCGCCTATCACATAGACAAACAAAACTGTGAAAATTTTTTTACCAACAGTCACTAAAATAAATACCAAAAGGAGATCTTCAGGAAGAAGAGAAATTATTCTTTAAAATAAGCATGACAATACAGTAATAAACAAAAGTCATCAAAAAGAATAAATACATGAATAGCATAAATGTTTAAGATGATAACATCTTGAGGAGTTGAAGGATATATAAGTTCCTGTGATGTACAGGAGCCAGCTAGCACTGGTTTGTAGAAACTTACTGCTAAACGTTCAGTAATTCTGAAAGCTGGTTGTTAAATACCTTATTTTTTTAACCATTATTAAAAATTAAATTGTATACAATTAGAATTAAATACATGATACGAAAAACAAATGTAATAAAAGTCATCACTTCCTAATTATTTTACTATATTTTATTATATCTGTGCTCCTGAGGTTATTTGCTTCTACTGAATCTTTATGATGATGGCCTGGGCATAGTAGCTCACACACGTAATGCCACCACTTTGGGAGGCCGAGATGGGGGGATCACTTGAGGCCAGGTGTTTGAGACCAGCCTGGTCAACATAGTGAGACCTAATCTCTTAAAAAAATATTTATGATGAAATTACTACATAATGGTATACTACTACTGCACATCTCTTCCCAACATGCATGTAGTGATGTTGCATTGTAATTTAGAGTTGGGTATCATGAAAGCATTTACATCATGGAAACTGGTAAACTGTACAACTCAAAACTTGGTTTATTGTCTTTATTGATTGTCCAGAAAGTAATGAAGAAAAAGTTGGTTATGCAGATTATTATTCAATTTTGCAAAGAAATTGTTCATGTCAATGTGTCAAATTCTGACATTGTTCAGAGTTTGATTTAAACATATCTCCATTGTTTCATTTTCATAGTGTTTATTAATATTACTAAGATATGAACCCATTCACATCATAACTATACTTTGTTCATCTATAACTATACTATATTAATCAATATCAACCATAGTTTAAGAATGCAAGAATTAGAAAAAATTAAATGTAGAGATTCTGTAAGAATCAATTGGCTATATGAAATTTACAATACACAGTACTATATATTTTATTATTTGTACACTTAGTACAAATATTCACCCTTTATATGAGGATAAAGTAAAATAAATTCATGCACATATATGGGCATGCACTTTCCCTAGATAACTGGTTGCCAAACATTTGCTAGTGCCTACTGAAACATCGTAGCCAAAAAGATAGTAGTAGCACGAAAGATGAGGTTAAAAGTCTTATTACTTGCATTGTCTGTGAGACAGTAAAAATTTTTAATTTAAGGTCAAGAATGCAAATTGTAATTTCCATTGAAGCTACTAAATGAATAGTAAATAACAGAGAGATGATAACCAAATAAGCGCTTCCATTTAGAAAGAATAAGAGCCAGAAGGGTATTTCATCCATTTCCATTTAATGTAATTATTAATATATTTGGAAATAAAAAGATAATCTTATTATATGCTTTTTAAAAAAATTTGGTCTATCTTCTCTTTTTTTTCTTTTTCCTTTCTCTGTCTATGGAGCTAGACTTTAAAAAAATTGTTAGCATTTTTACATATGGATTTGTAGCCTCACTTTTTACTTCATGTCATACTGTATGCCATTAAATATTCTTTGAAACATTATTTTTAATGGCTACATAAAAATCTTATTATATGTACTATTATTTATCCTCTCCCTTATTGGTTGATATTTGCTTTTTTATGCGCTGTTATGAATAACGCTGAGGAACATCCTTTCCTGCACATTTCTTTGGCAAATTTCTGATAATTCCCATAGGGTAGATTTTTAGAAATAGAATAAAAAGATACCAATTGTTTTAAACTCTTCATACATATTGCTAATTTACTTTCAGAAAGGTTGTGCTAATTTATACATTCTCTAGTAAAAAGATGTTCCATTCTCACTACAATTTTTTAACATTGAATATTATTACTTTAAAATATGCTTGCCTGTTTTTAAATTGAAAATACATATATCGTTGCCATTTTCATTTTCATTTCTTTGATAACTGTTACAACGAAATAGTTTTGTGGGCTTATTGGCTATACACATATCTTCAGTGGATTGTTGGTTCATGTCTTTTACTTTTATTTTCTTTATTTTAATTTACCAAATGCCTTTATTCTTTTAAAATATTTTCCTGTATTTTTAGTGCTATAGATTGAATGCTTATATCCCCTCTAAATTCATAGCTTGAAATCTAACCCCTCATGTGAACATATTTGGAGGTGGGTCCTTTGGGAGGTGATCATGAGTGCAATCAGTACCTTTATAAAAGACACCCCAGAGAGCTCCCTCATCCATTCTGCCATGTGCAGACACAGTGAAAAGACAGCCATCTATGAGCCAGGAAGCAGGGTCTCATGAGACACGAAATCGCCAGTGCCTTAATCTTGGATTTTTTAGCCTCCAGAACTGTGGGAAATAGATTTCTTTTGTTTTTAAGCCACCTCTTTTATGGTATTTTGTTACAGCAGCTCAAATGAACTAAGACATTCATGACGAGCAACTGATCCATACAATTACATGTAACAATGTTAAGCAATTCATTAAATATCTACTGAGAGTTCCTAGTTTCTAGACCTGTGAGAGATACAAAAATATCTAATACTCCAAAGAGTCCATAAGCTTGGTGGAAGGATATTGATTCATCTGATAACCCTTCAGAATAGAGTTTATGACTAAGGGCCCAAACACATCATAAATAATAAACATACACAACAGGAAATAATAGGTATTGGGAACTCCAGGTTCTTCAGATTTGGAACTCAGACTGGCTTCCTTGCTCCTCAGCTTGCAGATGGCCTATTGTGAGACCTCACCTTGTGATCGTGTGAGTCAATACTCCTTAATAAATGTCCATATCCTATCAGTTCTGTCTCTCTAGAAAACCCTGACTAATACACTCCTTCTTTCCTAAAACCCACCCATGATGTCTCACCTCCAGGAAATAAAACATCTACCAGGCATGAAATCTTCCACTCTCTCCATAACTACCTCTGTCCCCTACTTGCTTGTCCCTTTTTCACTCATTTTGAGTTACTTCAAGCCTCTGAAATTCCAAGCTCTTTCTCAAACAAGACAGGCCCTTTTCCTGAAACTCCTTCTCCAACATACCACCACCACCATACACACACAGATGTTCTCCTTCCCTCATTCAGCTTTCCACTCAATTCTTACCCATCCAGAGAGCCCTGCATGGCCATACATGACACTCCTTCCCCCAGCTCCTTACTACCTGCCATGCCTTAACTTCTGTTATTTTTCTTCATCATATTTATCATACCATTGTTGTGTTTGTTTATGGGGTACCTCTCTTCAGCAACATTTAAGCTTCATGAGTCAGAAATTTGTCTATTGTCTCTGCAGTTCTGTGTCCAAGGCTTGTATGTAGTAGGTGCTCAATAAGCATGTATTGAATGAATAAATGGTTGAAGAGAATTCCAGGAAGAGGATCGGTTAGTGAAGGGTTTATAGAGGGCTTAAAATGAAGAGCTCTGTTTAGCTTAAATAAAATGCCCAGAAGAATCAGCATGCACAACCACGTGAACTGCGGCACCAGGAACCAATTTTCAGATCACTTTGGCTACAGTGTGGGAGACCTGAAGGACAGCACCAGAAGACAAGCCAGTGACATGAAGAGTCTGGAATGCCAACTGGGGTCTTCTGTTCGTGGGCTTGACTTTTTAATGTCTCTGGAAGACCACAAGGGTAACTGACCCTGAGGGTCTTTAAGCAGGAAAGTGACTTGTTTAAAGTAATATTTCCAGAGGATGAATTGGGCATCAGAAAGCAGGAAGCTTCCTAAGTGTAAGACTCCAGGGGGTCGTCTGGGTTGAGTCCATTAGCGGGGCATGATGAGCACTGGCTCACTGTCCCAATAATACTGGCTTTGGTGATCAAAAGGAAAATCACTAAAGGAGGGAACTTTTTATCTCAACTGTTGTTTGCCAGGTATTAACTGTGGATTACCAAAGAGCTGCATACAAAGAAATTTGAAATATATTATTACCCTTGCAGGACACTTATAATTGTGAAAGATTTATTTTTTCTCCCCAACTCCCAGGGACATCGTGAGCTCAATGCAAGGACCTAATAGAGACTTCTGCAAAAGTGTTCCAAAACCATTTGGCTGAGTCTCTCGAAGAAGAAAAATGTAAATTAGTGACCTTTGTGCTTTATTAGAATGAATAGCCCTTAATATGCAGATGGCACCTCATTTCCAACCTTGTTCTTGATAATTAGTGATTGGTCTCATTTAGTTATTTTTCAGAGTCCTTTCTGAGAAAGAGTTTCCATTTTACAGATGGGGGAACTGAGTCCCACAGATGTCAAGCAATTTTTCTGAAGTTCCACATTAAGTCAGCCTTAGGCAGGAAGTGGAATATGGCCGTTTTTTTGTTGTTCTAAGATCTTTTTAGTCCATGAAGTCATGTTGACTCGGTTTTCTTGTTAACATAGAAACCCCGATATATATGCACTTGTACTGGAACATTGTACACAATTGTCAAGAAGAGACTAACGTTTTTTAGCACCTAGTTATCAATAATCAGAATTTATATTACCTAGGATAATAATAAGGTATTAAAAACAATAGCAATTAAATGCTAATAAAAGCCAGTTATTTGAAGCCTTCAACTTTCCAGACTTCCACATCGATTTCTTTCTTATAATATTTACTCTATCCCTAAGAGTTTAGTAAAGATCATCATTTTTTTTCTCCTATTTTACAGGTGGGTTAAACAAGACATAGCTTTGTTTGACTGCTTCCCAAATGTTTAGAAGTCCATATACTGTTCTTCCTTCATTCATTAAATAAAACATTAATTTTGTTTTTAGTTCCTTAGCAAATATTTGTGAGTATCAATTATTGTCAAACATTCTGATAAGCTCTAGATATATTAATACTTTAGTGAATCAAATAGATAATCCCAGGTCTTGTGAATCTTACATTTCAAATGGGA